CTACCTTCAATATATCTTGAATTTAATTAGTTATGAATTAAATCAAATCCTAAATATTAAATGAGCCCTATAGGTGTCAACATACAAATTTGCTATTGTGGAGATTTGAGGCTTAGAAACTATAATGATAGAGCCATTTAGTACTACGGTCTAGTGATATTTCTCTTCATTTGTAAGTAAGAAGTCTTATGTTCGATTCTTGCCCAAGGCGAATTTGAACCAAATTATTGCTAATCCATTGTAAGGCTAAGTTCAATTCCCAATAGTGTAGATAATATCGTTTGTTAAAAAAAGAAAAAAAAAACTACAATGATGGAATACTTTAGAACTTTGTTCAACTTCGTAAATAACTCACTAGATCAATGTGGGTTAAAGGCTAAAATTGATGTCAACTTTTAACCTGGACAAAATTTGAAAGTTGACATTCATTTCTTCATTCAACTTATATGCGTTATCCAATTCAATACAATCTTAGACACCCCCCAACCGCTTTGGGGTTTGGGTTTTAATCAATCTCTGAAAAACAAACGCAAGTTTTGAGATTTCATGATCCTATTGTGGGCACATACTGGATGGACAAAACCCACGACTTTCACTATCTTCTTTCCCAAAATCAAACTTGGGCCCTTCAAGGTGCCCTAAGAGGCCGCCAAAGGTCCATCTTTCCCTACCTCTCTAACTATATGGACAGGCCCACAACGCATGCATGGGAACACTCTACGTTGCATGCAATATATGCAAATGGTTTGCATGGAAAAACCAAATATTTGGTTGCATAACAAATTCCCTTGTCCGACTCCTTTGGATCTTGAGACATTCCAAATTGGAATGCGTCTTTGTCTCTCCCACTTCATCTTCCTCCACAAACACAGATCCCCTCAGACAATTAAATCACACTTCCACGCAAATTACATCCTCTTTTCCACAAAAACATAACTCAGATGATCTCTCTCTCCCAATCGCAAAGACACAGAGAGAACAATGGCGCCAGGTTTAAGGTCGCGCAGCAACAAGCGGTCATCTTCGTCGAATTCTTACGCTTCGACTGTGACGATTATGGTGTTCATAGCAGTGTGCGTTTTGGCTGTGTGGATGCTCAACTACTCTAACTCAGGAGTCCCCCAAACCTCCACAAGTGCTCGAACTGCCACGATCTCCTCCTCAGACGATGCTGCCTCGGACCTAGTGATCACCAAAAACACAAACAATTACGACAACAACAAGAACAATAATAATAATGAAAAACCGAAGGCGTTTGAAGATAACCCGGGCGATCTCCCCGACGATGCCATCAAATCCGATGATCTGCTGAGCAATTCAACAAAGGGTAGCGGTAGTAGTACTACTTCATCCGACCACGAACAACGTAGTAGTGGCAACGGCGGAGGCGGTGATAATAAACAAGATACTAGCGAAGAGCTGCAAGATAAGAAGGAGAAAGAAATCAGCCAGACCCAATTGGCTGAGGATCAGACCGGCTCAGTGGCGGAACACAACCAACAACAAGCTGACCACGATGAACAGGGCACTCAGAAGGATTCTGTCGATCAATCTGACCAAAAAAACCAGAAGGGTGCCGTCGATCAATCCGAAAAGAACGGCGATCAAATAATCACAAGCGACGATCAAATAATCACAAGCGATGGTCAAAAGAACAGTTCAGATAGCAATTCACAAGAGCAGCAAGACACAAATAACAAGGACAACAATCATAACTACGAAAGCGGGGAAGGCAATTCTCAAGATTCTCAGAGCGATAAGAAATCGGATAATGCAGATCAAAAGCAAAATGCAGTATCGTCGGATCACCAGCAACAGCACGAACACGAATTTCTAAGCAGTGGGAAGCAGGGGAATTCGTCGCAAGAATCCCAAAACTATCAGCAGCAGCAGCAGAATTCGGAATCCAACGCGATCAAAAGCGGAGAGTTGCAGTTCTCGGACGAGACGAGCCATGCAGCTGCGAACTTGCAAGTACAAAGCAAGGAATCTACCTATCAGGACTTTTCAAAAACACCAACCGATCAGAACATACAGAATCCAGAAAAAACCCGGCAGGACTCCGACTCCGATCAGAAGAACAAGAAGGACGGCGGCGCCAATGCAGCCAATCAAAGCAAGGTTCCAACAACCGAGTCCAACTCGGGCGATTCGTTACTGAGCGGGGACAACACGGTCCGGAAGGAGTCGAAGGAGTCGAAGAAGTCGTGGTCGACGCAGGCGGCGCAGTCGGAGAACGAGAAGGAGAGGCGCAAGGACGAATCGGCCGGTCAGGACGGCATCTACGGCTACACGTGGCAGCTCTGCAACGTCACGGCGGGTCCGGATTATATACCGTGTTTGGACAACGAGAAGGCTCTGAAAAAACTGCGTTCGACCAAACACTTCCAGCACCGCGAGCGGCACTGCCCCCAGGAGGGGCCCACTTGCCTGGTCCCACTTCCGGAAGGATACCAAAAGTCCATCGCGTGGCCGAAAAGCCGAGACAAGGTGCGAAACATGCATGATTTGTAGGATCGTGTGTGATTGAATTATTTGAACGGTTGGATTTGTGCAGGTGTAATTCTTTTATTGTGGTCTGGCAGATATGGTATCATAATGTGCCGCACACGTTGCTGGCGGAGGTGAAGGGCCACCAGAACTGGGTGAAGGTTTCCGGTGAGTTTTTGACGTTTCCCGGTGGCGGGACCCAGTTCATACATGGCGCCCTCGTGTACATTGATTTCGTTCAAAACGTAAGTATCCCTTCACCATTGATTTCCTTCATATGATTTATCCGTTCACACTCCCAGCTGATCGGCAGACCGGCTTGTGATAACCCCAAAAAAAAAAAAAAAAAAGTTTAGCTCATCGCATTATAAATACTTAATTCCACGTCTAATATAAATTTCTAATTCCGCCGTTGTGTGCTCCGTTATCATAATGCGCACATCGGTCTTATAATGTTGTTAAGTTGCATGCAGGCAGTCCCGAAGATCGCATGGGGAAAGCACACTAGAGTTATATTGGACGTTGGTTGTGGGGTTGCAAGCTTTGGCGGATATCTCTTCGAGAGAGACGTTCTAACGATGTCGTTTGCTCCCAAAGATGAACACGAAGCACAAGTCCAGTTTGCCCTTGAGAGAGGCATACCTGCAATCTCTGCAGTCATGGGTTCTCAGAGGCTGCCCTTCCCCAGCAGGGTCTTCGATGTCGTGCATTGTGCGCGATGCAGAGTCCCTTGGCACATAGAAGGTTTGTCAGAACGTGTGGTTTAGGCTCACAAGTCTGACAATATAAACATTTGTCTAACAGGCCACGCACATTTATAATTTACACACGCTGTTATGGTTACTTTGTTATGACACTGCAGGTGGTATGCTTCTTTTGGAATTGAATCGGGTTCTGCGGCCTGGGGGTTACTTTGTGTGGTCAGCCACTCCTGTTTACAGGAAGGAACAAGAGGATATCGAAATATGGAAGGGTAGGGTACCAAATTTGTTATGAACGAGTATAGTTTAACGAGGAATGTTCGTTCTCTTGTCATGTTAGATTGACAGTCTGATAACAACAAACCTCAAACTGTTTGATATAGAGGTCGTTTCAATTTTGTAGAAATGTCGGCACTAACGGCCTCCATGTGTTGGGAGGTTGTAGCCATCAAGAAGGACAAGGTAAATTCAGTTGGGGCCGCCATCTACCGGAAACCAACCTCAAACCAGTGCTATGACCAAAGAAAGCAAAAGCAGCCTCCTATGTGCAAAAACGACGACGACCCTAATGCTGCCTGGTAACTAAGTTTCCGTTGATGACCTAATTTCACGGTCTAAGTTTATCATGACCCGGGGCTATATATACATAATTCTCTACAGGTACGTACCTCTGCAGGCATGCATGCACCGGGCACCCACAGACAAATTGGAGAGAGGGACTAAATGGCCTGAGAAGTGGCCTAGTCGCCTGCAGACTCCACCTTACTGGTTAAACAGCTCCCAGATGGGCATCTATGGGAAGCCAGCACCCCAAGATTTTTCAACAGATTATGAGCACTGGAAACGTGTTATCAGTAACACTTACATGAAGAGTTTGGGTATCAACTGGTCGAACGTCAGAAATTGTATGGACATGAGAGCTGTTATGGAGGGTACTACTCATTAATCGATGATTTTCGATTAGGTTTACTTAATTCTAAGTGGTAATCTCTCAACTATGTTGTGCTCATGAGTGCAGGTTTGCTGCAGCTCTGAAGGACCTTAAAGTGTGGGTCATGAATGTGGTGAATATAGATTCACCGGATACACTCCCCATAATCTACGAACGGGGTCTTTTCGGAATTTACCATGATTGGTGTGAATCCTTTAGCACTTACCCCAGAAGCTATGACCTACTTCATGCAGATCATCTCTTTTCAAAGCTTAAAAAGAGGTACAACTTAAATCTATGTTGCTATTCATTTTTATGATCTCTAAGTCATGGTAAAGCAGATGTACCTGTTTTCGCTTCCCAGATGCAAACTCGCTCCGGTACTGGCAGAGGTTGATCGGATTGTCAGACCAGGAGGTAAGTTTATAGTCCGGGATGAGTCGAGCACAATTGGGGAGGTTGAGAACTTGTTGAAGTCCCTGCATTGGGAGGTTAGTCTAACCGTCTCCAAAAACCAAGAAGGAATGCTCAGTGCACAGAAAGGCAACTGGCGGCCAACCACATATGCAGATAGAGATTCTTCTTAACATACACAGAAACACAGCATTCAGCTCATATACCGTGCTCTCAAACTGTTTGTACTCTGGAACCAGTGATGTGCTAACCAGTTTTTAGCATCATGCTCATTTCGGATGCAACCTAGTTTTGCTACATGACTGAACAAGATTGTATGTATTTGTTCATGTTGTTAAATGCATGTAAACCTGCGAGATACATGTAATGATTGAAAACTCATATGCAAGACGCATATACATTACATTAACGTAGAAAATGAAGGCGTTATCGTTTCTCTATCAGTGTCATCAACAAAAGAAACAGTTGTTGAATTCAATGCTTTTTATTTGGATAGCAGAAAGTCTTAGTGTATCAAAAATAGAAAAACCGAGATTGCTAGTCATCAAATACATATGATTTCTCAAATGCTGTGGAAAATCGATGATTGTGCTAATTCAACATTACATCAATTATTATTTGCAGACAGAAAAATCATTTTAGCTACATCAAAGTCAGAGAACTAACTCTTTAATCCCCATATGCAGCTTCACATCTGCGCTCGTGTTTCTTAATCTAACATATCTCCTCAACTTATACTAAGAAGCTTCTGAAGCTGGCCACTCAGAACTGCCGCTTTGAGGTCTGAATTGTAAAAGTCACAAATTAAAAAAGCAGATTGAAGGAAACAACGCCAGATGAAAAGCATCAAAACAAGGACAAACACAGATGAGAGCTCACCATCAGAGCCGCCAATGTGCTTTCCATTCACAAAAATCTGCGGGACAGTGGTTCGGCCTACCACATCTAGAAGAACACTCTGAATTTGAGCTCCATCATCTAAACACACATCTTTTCAGAGTCAAATCCAAACCCTTTTTACATTATACATAACCAGCTCATCAAAGATTAAAAAAAAAAAAGACTAACCATTTCATACCTCGAAGATCAAGTTCGACAACAAACGGATGCTCATGTAATTCGGCAAACATGCGCTTGGCACGCAAGCAATACCTAGCCACAAAACAACGCACAATGCCAGAATCCTCATTCCAGAATCACTTACACTATGTTTGGACGAGGGAAATAAACTTGGAATTTGGTAAAATTCAGAATTTATAAATTGACATGCACCAATTCCCTTTTTTGGATTCATAAACATAGAAATTTAGAATTTCCGCGTGGAAAAAAAAACTTGGAATTTGGGGCCTCCAATTCCCAAGTTCAAATTCCATGTAAATAGGTGTCATTTCCCAATTTCTATGATTTAGAGTTTAAAAATAACAAATTCAGTATTCAATTCCATTGTTCTTTTAGATTGACCAAACAAGAAAATTTACAAATTCTAAAAAATAAAATCTTGTCATTTCAATTTCCGTCATTTTAAAATTCCTTAGTAATCTTAAATTTCTTCATCCAAACAGTGTTAAATTAACACACAGAGGCATGGACAGAGTTCTTTTCGCAATATTTACGTCGAAATCATAAACCATTACTAAAACAGAAACAAAATATAACAGATAGCTGAACAGAATTCAGAAAGCATTGAACCCACTACTAGCACAGAAACGAACAACTTAGTGAAATATCTGAAGATGTTATGATCCTGGATATAAATAAAACAAATGTTGATGCAAATTAGTAAAACGATGCAAATAAATATTTTTCAAAATTATAAAATTGAGCTACAAATAATTCTGAAATTACAATTTGATTGCTCTACGAATTTCAAGGTTTGAGGGAGATGACGTACGGGCAATAGGATTTGGAGAAGATGGCAATCTTGTTGGAGTAGATGGCGTTCTGCACGAACGCCGCCGAAGACGAAGCCGAAGCCTCCACAGCGACGGCGTTTCCAAACAGTAGCAGAGCCGCCGCCACCGCCGCGATCACAGCAACGCCCATGAACTCTGACCTACGCATCTTCCCTCCACGACACCGCGATCCCGCTGTAACGACATTCCCAGCATTTTATCATTTCGCGTTATATCAGAATCCGTGGGCCGGGCCCATTAATTGGCGGGCCCGTTTATCAAATTCCCCTAATTTTTATTTGTTTTTCTTCTAAATTTAATTTTCATCGAGAAATTCAGGCAGAAAAATACCAAAAAAAAAAAATTCTGTTTAAATTGTGAATGTTCAATCTGGATACAAAAATCTTAAGATCTACACATCAATTCGAATTCAAGCTATGAAGATTTGGAGTTGGAATCACATTTGTACAGCTTGTTGTATTCGTCGAGCTCGTCGTAATACACATCCCACACGCACCGGACGCATCCGCTGCCGCAGCAATCGCCCGGCTCCGGCTTCTCTGGCGGCGGAGGCGGAGGTGATGTCTCCGCTGACTGTCCTTCTTCCTCTTTCGGCTTCGCTGCTTCAATCGGTTGAGGGACTCGAGTCTTAATTGCTGCTGCTGCCGCATCGCCGTCGCGGTCGGCCATGGAGTTATTGTGGATGGTGGTGCGCGCACAGAAGGGTAGCCGTGGTCGGGGTCGTTGGGGGTTGAATCTGGTGGTGATTCGGATGCTTATAGCTCCCCCTCTCATGGCCAACACCGTGCGGGGCGGGGCATTCTCTGGTTTTGGCGCGTTCTGATTGGCTAGTGCTGAGGTATACGATAGGAGCTCCCGCAGACAATGACGATGTGCGGCTGCGTCCATACACGGCTCCTTGTTTCCTAACCAGTCTATCCCCTAAAAGGAGTTTTTTGTGGTAATAATCCAATTCTCGTCAACCTTTTTTTTGGTTGACTCTATTTGATGGTTGGGATGGGGACTCAGGATAACGAGAATTTATAGTTTATAGTCAAAATTTAGCTTTTAAATTCATAAATGTCAATTTTTATAAAATCTTTTAAATCTAGGAGACTTTAATGAAAAACATCAAGCACTGTTCATTTTAACAAAAAACCATATTTTTACATTAAAAAATCAATTCTGGTACTATTTACTTTATCTTTTATTTTGTCCTTATCATTAAAACTCAAAGTTTTCAAACCATTTTCACTAGTTTTCCTTTAAATCTACCCAAAACCTCACATTAATATAACAAAATACCTTCCTACTTAAAAAACCACACACAAAGGAGATGTGCTTTTTCTGTTCGTTCTTTTTTATTCCTATTCAATTTAGGGTTCCATATTGTAATTCGAAAATATAGAAAGAGATATGGTATCTGTTCTGATGGAATTGAGCCAATTATATTCTCAAATTCAATTCACAATTGACAAACTTACAACCAAAACCATGAAGAAAATTACACAAAAATACAATTTATGTATGTTTTTGTGCAAGATTCAATTGGTATTTTGCAGAAACTTTCATGGAAAATGCCATTACACGTTCTCATGGCATTTTGCATATTTGTTGGATCACTGAAATTAAATTAGCTATTTAATTAAGAGATGGATATTGAGCATGAAAAGCATGCCCAGTCCAACAATTACAACGCGTTTGGATCCTTTTGATTTAATGGTCGTTTCCATGGCCCCCTCCCATCTGTTCTAATAATCTAATTTATTCTTTGAACATTATTTTTGTGGTAGAGTTCTTCAAATTTTATATTTAGGGTAGACAAGTAGAAAGCGTTTCCATTTTCGCAATGATGCAGCTGACATACATTCATGGTGTCTTCCTTGTTCAACCATGGTTGTAACTAATATACATGCGTGTCCAATTTACCACTCCCAAAACCTCATCAACAACAACACAGGATTTGAAAGGGTTTTGACGTAATTAGGTATAAATTTTAAGGGCAATTGGGTCTATTCAAGTGGAGTTTTGGCTATATTTGAAATATTTTATAAAAACTGATATTTTTAAATTTGTATGCAAAATTTTGGCTATATACGATAAATTCTCCAGAGTATCTCCAATGGAAGTACCACCACTTTTGAGGAGTCATTTAAGAACTTAAAGAGAATCTTTGTGTCTCTAAAGGAATATTGCCTCCAATGGTGGAGTCCTTATAGTAGAATCTATAAATTTGAAGTTTTTATTGTTTCACATGATAATTTATTTATGTGCACATTTTTTGCTTATGTTAACCGTTTTTTAATTAATTAAAAGCATTGAAAGAAATTTTTTTAATCAAGATTGTGGGTACCGTTTTCCACTCAAGTCGCACATTTTTTTGTTTATGTTAACCATTTTTAATGAATTAAAAGCATTAAAAGCTACAATCAAGATTGTGAGCCTTGTTTTCCACTCAAGGTTGTCCTTACGCAGTCCCTATGCTTTAGGAACTCACTTTTGATCCATTGGAGATTCATTTTGTTTCTATATATGTTTTATACCTATTTTATATGGTGGTTGTCCCTATTGAGAGACTCTACTAGAGATGCTCTTAGGAGAGGATTAACTTACGACATCTGAATTAATAATACAATTATATAATTGTGTTTGTTTGGAATGCAAGTCACTATTTTCAGGATAGGATACTCTCCGGATTTCATCCATTTGGATCTCACCCGCATAGCTAAATTCTTCTCCCGATTTTAGGTAATTCCTTTGCACTATTGGTTTTGATTGAATGCTTGATGCGGATTTTAGTTAATCTGTGAGCTTTTCTATAGTCGAAAATGGTGTAATTTCAGAACGACGACCTAAAGTACATCGTTGAGGACACCTACACTTTTACCGATAACCAGCTCCAAGGAAGCCACGATGCCAACTTAGACTTTGAAGAAGACGGAAAAACAAGGATCTGAGTGGTTGGGATCGGGAAAAGATCTCTATGAGTGAGTGGAGTCACTGCAGTTACTTAAAATATAAACTATTGGTCGATGATTTATCGATAAATTTCAATAGGATTTTATTGAAAATGATGCATGATGTTTGGAGAACTTGTCATTTTCGTTCCTCATGTTTGAAATTAATTAATTTCATCTTAAATGTTTTGCTTTGTACCCTGCTATTATAATTGGTCAAAAATAATGTTAAGCAATAATGCGTGGAGACAAACGTAAGGGACAAAATTGGTTGATGTGAAAGATTATGGATGAAAGTGATGAGTTTCTCAAATGTCAGGTACCATATGTGATAAAACATTTCACTTATAAGTGAACCAAAATATCATTACAAATTAAGTGACTGAATATTTGATTTTTTGAACTTTACAACGTAATCCAAATCATTCGAATTACAAAATATTAACATATGAAATTCTAATAAAAAGTAAAAAAGTGGACATGTGAAGTGAAACCATATATTAATATATTTAAACAAGTGTTACTAGACCCATTTCATTGTCCTATTTTCTCACCCACCTTATAATTTTACCCACCGTAGAAAGTTAAAAATACTTAATACTCTTTCTCCACCTACTTTTATTCAAGAAATATCCTAGATACAATTAACATCATCCGACTCAATTCGACAACAACCTCCTTCCCACCTTATTTTTGGGATGCGAGTTCTAGAGAGTGGGGCTGGACTGGGAGAGGTCTGAAAGAGGGAGGAGGGAGAGAGAAGGGTTCTGGATTATTTAGGTATTTACGTCATTTGACATAGGGGGTAAACATGTCATTTGACATAGGGGATTTTTTTTTTTTGAGGGGGGGGATTAACAGCTCTGAGGAAAAAATTGTCAGAAAAAAAAGTAGCAAGTAATTTACTTGGAGAGCAAGAACAGATCAATTTCAAAAAAAGGGAAGTATCTATCTACAACTGTAGGATTTGATTTCGCCTTGCAGCGCAAGCAAGGTAAGTAAGTAGGGTTGGTAGGTCAAAGTATTGCGCCAATAAATACAGCCAAGATTGAGAGCCCCTATTTCTTGCGCCTGGTCTCTCTTTGAGATCAGAAAAACCCTAGCAAACCTCTCTCCCTCTCTCCCTGTTTGTTTACCGAAATTTGGCTTTAGATTCCATGGCTGAGGTTGAACACATCAACCCTTTCAGTCTCTTGGATGACGGCGATTTCATCAGCGTCGTGGACGCGAAGGCGGAGGTTGCGTTTCTTGCGGTGGTGAAGGAGGAAAAGAGGAAGAACAAAGAGGAGGAGGAGAAGAAGAAGGCAGCGGAGAAAGCGCAATCTGCATCCAGTGCTGCTAGTATTGGTTCTGAGAAGTACAATAATTACAGAGGCAATGGAGGCCAGAATTACACGAGGGTTAATCGCGGCTATTATGGCCGGAGGCGGTATTACAGAGAGGGTAACGGCGGTTATCAAGAGAGGACTCAGAGCCAGGGAGGAGAAGAAGGACAGATTGAGAATGGTGGCCAAAATCATAGAAAGGGTAACGGAGGTTATTATGGTCGGAGGCGGTATTACAAGGATGGCAACGGCGGCTCCCAGGAGATGAGTCAGAGCCAGGGAGGAGAGGGAGGAAAAGTTGAGAATGCAGGCCAAAATTATGGTAGGGGTAACGGCGGTTACAATGGTCAGAGGCGGTATTTCAGAGAGGGTAACGGTGGTTATCAACAGAGAAGTCAGAGTCAGGGTGGAGGAGTGGCGGTTAATGATGGAAGGCAACACTATGGAAGGAGAAACGGTGGTTATTATGGTGGTAAAAGGCAGTATTACAGAGCGGTTAACGGAGGCCAACAGGGAAGTAATCAGAGTGAGAATGTGGAAGTTGATGAAGCTAATGTGCTTGGTAATGGTTTTGATGGTGAGTGTTGGCAAGATTATCACGCTCGGCGGAACCCTAATCATCATAATCACAGCGTTGATGATCAGCAGATGGTGCAGGGCGGCGGTGATGATCAGCAAAGGGTTCAAGGTAGGTTTGGAGGTCAGAGGCAGGGGCGAGGCAGATGGAGAGACCATAGTCATCAAGAAAGGAGAGGATACAACAATACCGAAAACAACCAGGGTAACAACAATGGTGAGGGGTTGGAAAAGGAGAAGGAGAAACAGCAACAAGAAGAGGGCAGTGAGGAGCAGGGGAATAATTCTGAATTGCATGGTATAGGGGCCAATGGAAGTGTCAGCAGAAAGATCTCTGACAAGAAGGAAAAGAAGCCGAATATCAATGGAAGTCTTCGGAAAAAGATGAAGAAGAACAAGGATAAGATCCAAGGCGAAAACACGGCTGCTGCTCCTGCAAGTGTTCAAGAGGATAAAAAGATTACCAAGGAGTACACTCTGAAAGAGTATGAGGAGAAGGCTCTTGGTGCCAAGAAGAAGGATTCGGAGGCTGCGAACAAAAGCGTCGATGGGGATTTTGAGAGGACTGAAGCTCTTGTTAAGGAGTTTGATTCAATGCAAGTTATTGGGAAGAAGAAATTGGAGGAGAAAATGTCTGTGCCCGAGGGCCAAGAAAAGTCTGCAGAAGTTAAGAAGAGGAAAGATGGTGCTTCCATGAGAAAGATCAAGACGCAGACTTTTAATATCAATGAGTTCTGCAGACCAAAGAAGGGTGATAAACTTGAAGGGAATGATTCACTGAAGAATGGTAGAACTGAAGGACAGCGTGCTCAGCGGGATGGAAGATTTGAAGAGCATCGTGAGCAGCGGGATGGTAGATTTGAAGGGCCTCGTGGGCAGCAGGATGGTAGATTTAAAGGGCCTCATCTGCTGCAGCAGGGTGGTGGATTTGGAAACTGCTCTCAGCGGGGAGGTGGGAAAAAACCTGATGCTTCATTCGAAATGAAGGATGATCAATTTCCAGCCTTGGGATAAAATCCTGAATTAACTGCAGGATCAAGAACTTTATAATCTTTGAAATTCTTAAGAGGAAGGTTTTGGTTTTGGTTTTGCTCCCTGCTCTAGTTACATTTTTGAAATTTCGTAGTAGAAGTGGCTGTAGAGGCGCTTTTCGGATTGTACAAAATTTAGTTCAATTTTATGAAGTTCTTCAGTGTTTTTGCTTTAGTCTTGGTCTTGCTATGCTTTGAAAAAATTTGCAATCCAGTCACCTGCTACTTCTCAGCAAATAGTTTCAGTATCAAATTACAAATTGCCGAAAACAAAGATAAATGATCAGAAATACATAACATATTACTAACAGAAGCCGAAAATATAATGCGAAGTTCACTTAGATGACTCGGTGTTAATTCTACCTCTTCAGTCCCAGCAGGAGCAAAACTAAATTGAGGTCATCGAGATTGTAGGCGGATCTGATGATATTGTTTTTGAAGTCATTCCATGGAGGATATCTAGACCCAAATTCAATGAAGAAGTTTGCTTGCACAACTGCTTTCTCATGGCTGAAAGTATCGAAAGAATACTTTCCATGGTACCTCCCAAAGCCACTCTGACCAACACCACCAAACGGTAGAGCTTCACAGACAAACTGCACATAGAAATATTTGCGATGACGTTAGATCTTTTGCCCCCTCTATTGTTTGAAAAATCAAATAGGAAAAGAAAAGTACGAATAGAAAGATGCAGTACTTGAATCAAGATGTCATTGAAAACCACGGTTCCTGAGGATGTCTCGGACAAAACCCTTCTCCTGAAGTTTGCATCTTTAGTGAAGGCATAGATGGCTAGAGGTTTCGGCCTTGAGTTTATGAACTCTATGCTTTCTTCAATCTTTTTCACCTGCACAAATCAAATCGGAAGTTCTTCAGAACAATATTTCTGGAGAGTCAAATAATCTCACAAGGGCTGCATCAATCTCTCACAGTGATAATTGGAAGCAGTGGGCCAAAGATTTCTTCGGTCATGATTGCAGCATTGAGTGGAGGATCTAGCAAGATTGTTGGCTCCATGAACCTGAAAAGTTCGATGAACAGAATCGATAAGCTTCTACTGATACTGTAACAACAGTTACTTCTGAGTTATCTCACCAGATTCGACAAGCGGGAGACCTACTAAAAGGATTGAGAACTTACAGGTTTTCTTCATCAAGTGAACCACCATGTACAATGGAAGCTGCAACGGGAGGGTCTTTGAAGAGATTGCGCAGCCTCTCAAAGTGGCGCTTATTTACGACTCTGGCTAAGCATTTTGAATCTTTTGGGCTTTCACTATAAAACCTCTTGATTGTTTTCTTCAGCGATTCAATCTGAATTACAAACAAATTGTACATGAAATCATCTCAAAGACAATAGACCATTAGTCCTTACACATACCGTAGAGAAAAGATTTATACATACCACAGTGGGAGCAAACTTTTCCTCAACGAGCATATAATCAACTCCGATACATGCCTGTCCATTGCAAGGTCCCCATTTCCCTCCTACAATTCTTTGGATTGCCACCTGCGGGCCAACACGATGAAAGCAACACGATTAAGTCTATAGTTTAAGACTTCTTCCACATCCTTTAAAATTGCAGTTACTCCGAAAAACCTTTAAATCTGAAGGACTTGAGATGGAATCTAGGATAATCGGGCATTTTCCACCCAGCTCCAGAGCAACCGGTGTCAAATTCTTTGCAGCTGCAGACATGACAATACGCCCGACCTGCTGACTTCTGCAAGATTTATCTTGGAAGGCAAATTAATATTTACAACAAGGTACGCTCATTGTCAATGAACTTCTGTATTCTGAGGTGATTCTGAAAATCTATACCAGTAAAGAATATCTTGTCCCACTTCTGCTGCAGGAGGAGTTCACTGATTTCTGCTCCGCCCTCAACAATTTTAACCGCTTTACTGTCCATGTATTGAGGGATGGTGTTGGCAAGAAAGGAAGAGCTCGCGGGCGCTTGCTCTGAAGGTTTTAGAACAACTGCATTCCCTGCAGCTATTGCTCCGATCATAGGGTCCAATGCCAAGGCTACATAAACGCCGAAAATTAAGGATTAACGAAGATATAATACTTGCAGTTTAGAAGATCTGCTTAGATGCAAAATGTACAGTCATATTCATTTGAACAGTTTTTTATACTACTGCCACTGTTATCGTAAAAAATAAATAGACATGACAAAGCAACTGCACTCACATATTGGGAAGTTCCAAGATGCAAATACGAGAACTACGCCGAGGGGTTCGGGCAGCAGCCACCCAGACGTCGGGAACATAGGCAACGGTAATCCCACCTTCCCGGATGCCAGAAATTCACATAGGTGACGGAAATAACAAAACCTAAATCAGCAATGCTTCATATCTTTGTGTTTGACTTTGAACATGCTTCTGCTCACTTTCTTATTCAAAATTTTAGCTAAATTCGAGTTACCTTTTTAGGAGCAACCCATTTCTCCAGATTGCTCAAAGTATGATTGATTGATTTTTTCACAACTCCAATCTACAATCAAACAGCAAAACAGAATTATCCAATTACTGTACAGAAACCTTTTTTTTTTGGGGATAAAATATTGACGACATATTGAAAAACTAAGCGTTTCAGTAATTGAGAGTTGAAAAACTATATTTTTGGTTAATTTCTCAAATACATCAATAACATGTCGCTATGTTTTATCGACAAAAATAATTAATATCGATGTCTTATTATTTCGACAATTAAGGAATAGACGTCCGTGCCATCGTAACACAATTTTGAAGAAGTATTCTTACTTCGTCCCGATAAGATTCAACAGGGTGCTTGCCAAGATCTTGATCGAGTGCTCTGAAAATGTTTTCCTCATTGTCATTCACAAGCTTGAGAAGCGAACTGAGTTGTTTTTTCCTCCATGCAATGCTTCTGGTTCTGCCACCTTTGAATGTTTGCCTGAGCTCAGACAAAGTTTCCTCCACTTCTCTCACTGCTTCCATGGTGGTACGTAACTGGTATGCCCTAACTCCAAAAATCTCCACGATTTAAAATAAAGGCGCTGTGTTGCATTAAAATTATCCAACTAATCAGATAGTTGCAGTTGGTGTACCTCCTGAAGTCAATCAATGCTACCCACCAAATGTCTCCAGCAACGTCACAAGAGAAACAAATTTTATCAAGGAAGATGTTTGTGTCCGTCGTTGCGTGTAGCGGGGAACAACAAACGTTGATCTATGTGGATCCCATCATGATCAACGGTTGTCGTTGCATCACATAATCACGAGCGACTGGTACTAACACGACTCTTTTCCTTTATTTTCTTGTAATGTGTCATGTAAACAACAAAGAGAAAATGCATACATATCTTATAATTTGTCACGCAATGCATACATATGTAATTGGTAAATTCTTCTCGTTATGACGAATGACAAAAGAAGAGATATAACTATCGCCGGCTCCATGCTCTGATGTGGGGCCGGTGGCAGTCCTCTCCCCTCCTCCCAGCCTTTCTTCTTCCTCTTATCAGTTCTCCTCACTCCCCATCACCTCATCGTCATTCCCTCCCTTCCCCTCTCCCTCCCTCTCCCTGCACTTCGATGTTTGTCTTTCTTTTAAATTTTACTTTCATGCGTTACTGGAATTGTTAATTCTTTTGGAATTTCCGTCCATAAGTGCTTCTTTAGTAAGGTTATTTGTGAATCTCTCCTAGTAATTATTTTAATTTTGTGTTCATGTGTTACTGGCTCCTCACGTGTTTACTTCACTTTTCCAGTCGCTTCACTGGCGGTGTTGAATATAAATTTCATGTTGGTATGGATACGAAATGGTTCCATATCAGTTCATCATCAGAGTGTCTGACTTTTTCATCATCCTTGAGTTCTTTTGGGCTTGTCTCGTGGCAACAACAGTTTGATCAAGTTTTCCTTGTATGTTATGTTGAAGTCATTGTTCTAAAAATCCTCGTCTAAGCTTTAGACGTTTAGTCATCGTTCCGATTAATTTCAAAGCGTTTGAAAATTAAAAAATGGCGCATAGACCTCCTTAGGTTTCTGCTTAATGGAAGCTTAAGCACTCGCTTAGCCTGCCTGGACACTTGCCAATACAATTATGTATGTTTATAAGTATAAACAATACAATTATGTATCCCAATACAATTATGTATGTTTGTAAGTATAAGATAGAAAGAATACTTTATGTATATTTCATTTCTTAATCAGGAAGTAATACATGAGAGTTTATATACACTTTGCTAAATAAGCTTAGTTACTAATGACCCCAGATTAATCACTAACAGTGTGATTAACAACAAAAACACATATGACTAATTTCCAGCTGTTACATAAATATCTAAGAGTGAGGTGTCCCTTTATCCTCCCTCAAGCTAAACGGAGGAGACCCGAGAGAAAGCTTGGACTGTAACAACTTGAATCTGGATTTGGGAAGTGCCTTGGTATGAATATCAGCAACTTGATGATGAGTACTGACATGTTGCACTTTAACCAGATTGGCTAAAACAAGTTCTCTTATATAATGGTAATCAATCTCGACATGTTTCGTTCGAGCATGAAACACGGGATTGGATGCCAAAGAAATGGCAGAGACATTGTCACACCAAAGGTGGGGCACCTGTCGAAGTGGGAAATGGAGATCATGAAGAATTTTGCAGATCCATGTCAATTCTGCAGCTGTGTAAGCAAGAGAACGATATTCAGCTTCTGTGGACGATCGAGCAACGGTATGTTGCTTCTTTGCACTCCAGCTAATCAAGTTAGGACCAAAATACACACAATAACCACTGGTTGATCGTCTGTCAAAGATGCAGCCAGCCCAATCAGCATCAGAAAATGCGGTAAGATGTAAGGAACCTTTCTTGAACCACAGACCTTGATGAGCTGAACCTTTGAGGAAACGTAAAATTCGTTTGACTGCTTGAAAATGTGATTCTCGGGGACACTGAAAGAATTGACAAACTTGGTTGACAGCAAACGAAATATCCGGTCAGGTCCAAGTGAGGTACTGTAAAGCACCCACAATAGATCTGTACTCGAATGGATTATCAAGTAAGGGACCAGTGTGATCCAACTTAGTTGTGCTAAGTGGAGTGGAACATGGTTTGCAACCATCCATATGAGTTTTAACATGCAGATCATGAGCATATTTCCCTTGAGAGAGAAAGAGACCTTCAGTAGTTCGTTGAATCTCAAGACTAAGGAAAAAATAAAGAGGACCCAAATCTTTAACAGGAAATTGAGTGCTGAGCTGATGAATGAACTCTTGACAAGCAGAGGAATGTGGACCAGTCACTAGGATATCATCAACATACACTAGAACGATAATCAGAGAGGGTTTGTGTTGAACAAAGAGAGAGCAATCAGATTTAGAGTTTTCAAATCCAAAAGAGATCAGAGTCTGAAAAAAGTTTATCATACCAGGCATGAGGAGCCTGTTTCAAGCCATAAAGAGACTTGTTAAGCTTGCAGACATAGGAGGATTTGGTGGAATCAATAAAGCCAGGAGGTTACTGCATGAAAACCTCTTCCTGAAGAGTGCCGTGAAGAAAGGCATTACTGATATCCAGTTGATTAAGAAACCAGTTTTGTTGGACTGCAAGAGTGAGTAAAATGCGAATGGTGATTGGCTTTGCAACATGACTGAATGTCTCCTGAAAGTCAACTCATTCTTGCTGATGAAATCCCTTAGCGACAAGACGGGCTTTGTATCGATCAATGGAACCATCAGGTTTTCGCTTGATTCGAAAAACCCATTTGCACCCGACAATATTCTGATGAGGAGAGGGAGGTACAAGAGTCCAGGTAACTGTAGTTTGTAAGGCTTGAAACTCTGCAGACATTGCTTGCATCCAATGATCATGTTTGGAAGCCTGTAGGTAAGTGGTAGGAACAAAACTGCTGGAATCAATTGGATGTTTAGTTGCAGCCAATACTTTGGGTTTAAAAATACCAGCCTTGGACCGTGTCACCATTGGATGAGTATTAGTAGAGACAGCAGGTAGTGGAGAAGCAGCAGAGAGCTGAGAAGGAATAGGTGGTGGAGAAGCAGTAGGTACGTGTGAGGGAGTGGAATGTGGAGATGAAGATGCTGATGAGTGATCTGGAATAGGTACAGAGTGAGCAGGGCTACCCATGGATGAAGAAGCTTACAGAGGAGAACTTGTTTTTGAAACTGGAAAAGGTAGTGTAAAAGGAGATGAAGCAGCAGAGGATGCAGATTCCAATGGTGCAGGACCCTGAAACACACAGAGATGGTGGAGAATATTGAAAAGGGAAATGATCTTCATTGAAAAGAACATGTCGGGAGATGTACAAACGATGTGTTTGAACATCTAAGCACCTGTAGCTCTTGTGCTGCAAACTATAACCAAGAAACACACAGAGAGAACTTTTCCCAGCAAGCTTAGATGATACATAAGGTTTGAGCCATGGATAACAGCTGCATCCAAAAGTCTTAAGCTTGGAATAATCGGGGACTGTGTTGAAGAGTAACTCCCAAGGAGATTTGTCCAAATTGGATAAGGGCAATCTATTAATGAGATACAAGGCCGTAGAGAAAGCTTCAACCCAATATCTGTGAGGAACACTGGAAGCTACTAAAAGAGTTCTTGCAGTTTATGTGATATGACGGTGTTTACGCTCAACACATCCATTTTGCTCAGGAGTGTGAGGACATCTGTATTGATGAGAAATACCATGGTGAACAAGAAAAGAATTGAATGCAGAACATGTGAATTCACCACCAGAATCTGATCGGAAAGTCTTGATTTTATTGCCAACCATATTTTCAACATATGCTTTGAAACTAACAAATACAGAGAAAACCTCAGATTTTGCTTTCAGAGGAAACAACCAAGTGTATTTAGTGAACTCATCTACAAATAGCACATAGTACTTGTAACCACTAACAGAAAGCACTGGAGATGGCCCCCAAACATCACAGTGAATCAACTCAAGACTAGCAGATACAACACTAGTACTAGAAGAAAATGGTAACTTGTGATTTTTGCCTATAGCACAATCTGTGCAAAAGAAATTTACAGATTTAGCACCACTGGAAGGAAGGGAAGCTTTATTTAAAATCTTCTGAAACATTGCTGTAGAAGGATGCCCAAGCCTCATATGCTATGTCTGGAGTGTAGCCTTAGTACTGAAAAATGCTGAGTATGGAGAGGTGGAAGGAATACCTTGGAGAGGGTAGACACCATCTCTAACTGGTCCTTGAAAAAGCATCCTCCCCATAGAGCGATCCTTGATTACAGAGCCATCAGAATCAAGAGTTAAAGCACACTTGTTATCTTTTAAAAACTGATAAGCAGAGAGAAGATTGAACTTCATCATGGGAACATGTAGAACATTATTCAAACGAAATGTAGTTGATGGTGTTTTAAGCACAGAATGTCCAGAGTGATGAATAGACATACCTTGCCCATCACCAATATACACTTTCTCTTCGCCAGAATAGGGAATAGGGGAATGAATAGCAGAGATATCATTGGTGATATGAGATGTGGCGCCAGAGTCAATAAGCCAAGTAGGAGAGGTAGATTTAGATGTAGTGTGCACACACATAGCAGCTAACTTGGCATGAGGTATTTTGCCAGCAAAAGCATGATTAATCCTTTCATAACAATCAAGTGCTTCATGCTCAAAGGAATGACAAATTTGGCAAGGATTTTTACCACCAGAATAGGTATTATGACGAGAAAAGCCACCAGAATGAGAGCGATTACCAGAGTTATTGCGGAAAGAGCCAGAGCCATTGCTGGGATGATTAGAATTGCCACGAAAGTTATTGAATGATTTGGAAAAGTTACCACGATAGTTACGCTGAAAGGATCCTTTACCACGATTATTCTGAAATCCATGAGGAGTATGAAACTGCACTGCATAAGCTTGTGGAAAGGAAAGTGGTGTAGGAAGAAGAGGACCCTGAGATTGAGCAGCAAAGGCCTGAAAAGGTTCTTGAGCGGAAGAGACAGGGCCTTTCTTTTTGC